GGGCAATGCTGCAATTTTTGTTTTTAATTATCAGACATATTTTAAAAACTCGAGAGACGATTAGTCTTTTTTATTTACTTACGTAACTACCATTTCTAATGTTTCTCTCTATTCTTGGTATTTCACGTTTGCCTCTGGTAGCGTTCTCTCTTTTGTCCAAAAAACTTCCTTTAGCAGCGCGTTCAGAGCAGGTGTCCAGTGAACAGATTTTCTGTTTTCCTTCGCTTGAGAGTATCTTCATTGCGCCTTTACTCCTGAAGGACATTGTTACCGGACATAGAACTCGTGGCTGACAGTCCCTTGATCTCCGCACCAACTCCTGGCACCGTGATCTCTAATGAGCAATCTGAACTCGTTTGAATCTTTGTTCCTCTGTAGGGAATGCGTCGTTTCACTCTGCTCTCAAGACTTCTTTCTGTGTCTAGTTTTCTGTAGTTTAACTATGATGTGTCTAGACATGGATTGCTTTAGGTTTATTCTGTTTGGAGGTTGTTGTGGGTTTATACGTTTTGCTAGATTTAGAAAGTTTTTAGTCATTATTTCTTCAAATATTTTTCCTGTACACACTTTTTTCATCTCTTTTTGATATTCCAGTGACACAAATGTGAGCCCTTTTGGTACTATCCCAAAGTCCCCTGACTGTTCGTTTTTTTCTCTTTTTTCCTCTGTTGTTCAAATTATGCACTTTTGTTGATCAGTCCTCAAGTCCACCACTTCATTCACCTGTCATCACTGTTCTGCTATTGATTTTCTAATAGATCTCTTTGACCAACAAAAAGCTTATTTTTATTATTTTCTCCAATGTGTTATATTACCTCTTCCGGTAATTCGGTAAAACTTGTATTTGATTGAATCCCTCTAAAAAGTAACATTCTACCAGAATTTATTTCTATCCATTATCTTTAGGAATAAAGCAAATAACAAGAAAACAACTTAACAGAAGGGATGTGTTTTTGTAAAATATCTGGCACAGGGTAGATACCAGATAATACAAGAGCACAGGGTAGATACCTAATAGTATTAAAAGCATGAATAAAGGAAGGAATAAATGATTCTTTTCCACAAAGCATAGTATTACAAGCACTATTTAATATACCATCTCTTCCCAATTTTAACAACCATAACATTAAATTTATATATATCTACATACACACGTATGTTCTGCATAGAGACTAACTCCTCCTTAATTATGTGGGCTCTACAAAGCATTAGAAATATAGGCCACCTTAGAATGCATGCCGAAATAGGAAACTTTGCAGAAGATTATCTTGCTGTTTCTCTCCAGAGGCGCTGAATTTTCCACTGTGGTTTGGCCTCTGTGGTTTTAGAAATAATGTGTATGCTGTGACTGTGTCCTGTTATGTAATAGCAACCATACTGTACACGTCCATCAGCCTTTGTTCAGCCATACTTGCAAAGGTAAAATCCTGGTTAATAAGGTGAGTCGGAGATGGAATGCTCTCCAAATGTACTGAAGTAAAATACTTATAGTAACTGCCTGACATATCTTTATAAGGCACTTTTCCTGCATTGCTATAACGGCATTCTTTTTTGTATCGGCTCCTCATGTTGGGATGACTTTAGAAAATCTTTCTATGGTGATAAAAGTAATTTTACTCTAGAATGATCAAAATGGTTTTTCAATTATTAATATATTTTAAGAGTTTCATCAAACTTTACAATTCATTTTTGGAAATGTCATAGTTTTCATCATTGTCAAATTATGGAAACCTTTTTCAAGTTTTTTCACAAATGCATTTAGGATTTACAGCATTTAAATTATTTTTCAGGGACTGGTAACTATTAGTAATAGAGATTCTTTACTTATATTCATTCACCAACTTTTCATGAATGTCCTTGTCATAATGGCATATTATAATTTTATGTCATCTATATATTCTATGTCAGATCGCTAATAAAGTATTTATACGTGTTTATATGATACATTCATTAACTGGATTATCAGATAATACAAGAGCACATTCATTTTGTCGATTCAAAATTTAACTCATGAATTACTATTCGTGGTACAATCTGAAAGATATTTTGTGACAATTAGCTTTTGGTGTCAGGATAACGTCTGGTGTTTTATTGCTCGGCACTGTCACTCAGGCCACCGCCCCGCCCCCCACCCCCCGGCAGCGGGCCTAAAAGCTGGCACCTCACCCCTGGATAGCTCGGCGCACCAACAGGTGTGACTTTTTAAACCCTGTAATTCCCTTGGGAATAGAATTACAATGCATTTTGGGGCATTAAAGTCAAATTCGATATAAACTTCTTTGGCGTGCCCTAGTCTTGTGTTGGTGTGGTTGTCATTTCATGTACACGCCCCGCCTCCTTTAAGGGGTGGCAGAGTCATGACCGGAAGGCCAGGTTCCGATCACTGGCAGGGACGTGAGAAAAGCCGGATCGGGAAGACGCCCTGCCCTGGAAGCAGCGGGGTGGGGGAGGGGGACTTTAGGGGAAGTGGCATCTGAATGGGCCTGAGAGGAGGAACAGAAATTCGGCAGAAACCGAGCTGTCACCCGAGGCACGCTCTCGTCTTCCCGCAACAGCCGAGGAGCACGTGTCCTGTGACTCTTACCTTCTCGGCACAAGTCACTCATCTGCCAAGGACGCTAAGCGCCCTGCGAGCACAGCCTGCTCTGGGCAGCCGCCTGGTCAGGGCGAATTCTCTCCCTTCACAAGAGCAAACCGAGGACATGGAACTCAGCGGTGAGCTGGGTGTCCAGATTGCCAACCTACGCAGCAGATTTGAAACGCTCACCCACTCCGCCTTGCTGGGCGACACGCGTCCTTCTCAGGATGGCCCTGGCCCAGTGCTTGCGGTTCCACCCACCCTTGGCCAACCCCGTCAGCCATGCTTCCCAGGCACCGAAACTCAAAGATCGTCCCAGACATCGTCTTCCTGGTAGTGGCGTGTGACTCTTCCACTGCCCACGCAGGGTCCAAGATCGCTCTGGCCTCCGCCAGCCCTTGGCACGGGCCCAGCACTGACTGGGCGGAGACGCACCCTCACCGGGCCTGGCACCTCGCCCCCAGCACTCTGAACCCTGGAAAATGTCTGCAGAAAGTCTGGCACTACTTCACCCATGACAACGTGCAGGGAGTAACAGGGTACAGGTGACAAATACCTGGCACACAGAACACATGCTCTGTGGCCCGGGCCCCCGAAGGGGGAGGACCAGGAGCTGCCAGGGCGTGTGTTAGGCAGGGGCTGGGACGCTGTGACCCAGCGTCCCAGGCAAAAGTGACGCTGTTCAGGGCCTAAGGCAGCACACAGCGCCCCACCCTTCCGACCAAAACTAAAACTCAGGTCAGACGCAAACCTCATACCGCTGGACCGAGAGAGAACGCGGTGAGAAGTGCCGCGTGCTTCAAGTTTGGTTGACAAACTCTAAGTTAGTGGGGGACTGAGACCTATGTCCGGCGGTCCGGCGACCGGCCCAAACCGGCTTTGCCAGCAACTACAAGTGTTTGAAAACTTAACATTTATGGAAAAGTCGCATGCTGGGGGGGAGACCCCGCGGGCCCTCGGCGCCGCTGGTGGGCCTGGCTTCGGGTTCATTTCCCACGGGCAGAAGGTTCCTCCAGCAGGGAGGAAATTCCACGTCCGGGACCAGTCCTCCTCGCTTTGTCGTCACTGCCTGTCACACCTAGCCTCCAGGGCAGGCGATTTCATTCTCCCCTGCTGCCAGCTTCCTGGAAGTTTGACACGAAGCGCTGTCCGGGGTCACGAGGATCCGTCCACCGCGGGCCGTGCGCTCGTCCAGCTCAGCACCTGGGGGACCCTGGCCCTAGGCACGAGCTTGCCCGCGTCTGCCTGTTTCCAGCCTCCGGGGCTCCCATCCTGGACGTTGATGCTGCAGGTCCTAAGTGACCCTGTGTCCTCACCGTGGTCTTTCTGCCAAACACACTGTTCATCTTTGAGGTTATTAATTTTTCTTTTTGTGAGTTGCCCCATCACTCAGCCCTTCCACGGAATGACAGAGCCCACCACCCTTCCATTAAAAATCATTTTGATTACACGTTTCTTTCTCATTGTGGCCTCTTTTGGGTACAAAAGTAATTTCCCATTTTAGGTGGTGTGAAGTTTTCGGGTGTTAATTTTGTTCTCTGGTTTCCTCTGAGATACAGCCTTCGCCTCAGCCTTCCGTAAGGCGTGGCTTGCGTTCCTTGCAGGTAAGGAAGCCCCCCTTTGCTCTGAGGCAGCGTGGTCAACTCATAAGGGGGGCTGCCCTGGTTCCCCTGAGCTGAACCCCAATCTCCCCGCTCCTTGAATGGAAGCCAGCAGTGCAGACCCGATCCCGAGGGCCTATGGCTTGGTGCGCACGGGCAGAGCATGTGTGGGGATCCCAGCCAGCCTGACACCCAATACGGGAGGGTCTGCATCCGGCCAGGGTGGGTGTCTGGGGGAGTGCGGTGCTTCCTCCTCGTTCTGTGGGGTCGCAGCCCAGCCCCTCGAGTCCCCCTCTGCTTCCCTCCTGTGTCAGCATCCACACCATGCCATGGACAGGACAGCTGTCCACTTCCTTTGAGACCAAGGTCCCAAATTGCCCTAGTGATGAAAGGGTGCCAGGGACCCTCTGTCCGTCAGACAGGCCCCGCTGAAACGCGGGCCAACTCCACTGCCCCCCACAGCCGTGTGGGGCTGTCCTGGGGGAAACGGCATCCCCTACTCCCCGCCCCCGCCCAGGCTGAAAGGGGGCCCCCGTGGAGCACGCCGTGGGCCGGACGCTGTTCCAGGCACCGAGGACACCGTGGTGAAAGCCCCTCCTCCAATGCCGCCTGGGCGCAGGAGCGCGCCCCCTTCAGGCAGTGGCGAGAGGGAGCGAGCACAGGGGCAGACGTGGCAGAGGGACAGGCGAGCGCTCGCCTCTGATGACGAGGCGGAAACGAGCCAGACTGGGGGGTAGCGGGGCGCCGGGGCTGCGCTGGGGCCGCGGCAGGACGGGGACATGCGGGCAGGACGCTCGGTGACCGTCACACACTGCGAAGCGTAAGAGGTGTGAGCTTTTTATTCACTTTCAGTTACCACCAATAAAATGAGACCTAGCACTTCAAACACTCCACAGTAAAACACAGTTCACCATGAAAATGTATTTCAGCGGTTAATGTTTCAATACGCACCTCTTAAAAATAAACACACACAAATCACTCAAAACCTACCTAATCAAGGAACACACATGGAAATAAGACGTTTTCACGGCCGGATTTGAACTAATTTAAAATTGTTCGATCAGAGGTGCCCGGTGCGGATGCCAGTTTCCTGTCCCCCGCCCCCCGCCAAACCCTCCCTGATGGTCGGGATCGCCGGGGTCCGACTCTGGGTAACAGGAAGATGGTAAATGTCAGATGCTACCGGTCAAAAGTTTTCACAAATTTAAAATACCACATTCTACTACACTTCCAAGTCATTTCACTAAAATCCAACTCCTATCAAATAACAAAAATGAATCACATTTAACCCAGATCCCGGAAGGCCAGAGCAGAACCATGATGCTCTACAGAAAGCGGCCGCTTACAGATGACATCCAGGGAAACGCGTTTTGTGACAAGCGCCTTGGTTGCTTTCAGCAACAGGCATGGTCACACAGCTGCTTGCTCACGGTCAACACGGGACGCCTGGCGGGCTGACCTGTGGCCCACGTGTCCTACCTCCTCCTGCGTTCACGGCTCATGCATTTAAGTTGTACGGACTCGAATTCTAACATGATGTAACCTTAATCCTTACGTCATCATTCCCTTCACGTAACAGGGCCCCACAAATATTTTTGTAAAACTGAGGTTAATATAAGATGAAAACCTGCCATTACACAAACCATTGAGTCTGCTCACCTACTGAGATCCATGAATTAGGTCTAATTTGCTCCTTTTATTAACAAAGTCGACTTTAAATAAAAAGCCATAATTTAACTGATAAAGGAAATCACAAAATTTAACGGACGATCCCAGCCTTACTTTCACATCTGAGCGTGCACGCGTCGCTTCCAACTGTCCCTTCCAAACCGCACACGAGCACGGCAGCAGCGGGCCTGCCCCAAACGCCGCTCCCGACAGCGCTCTCCGGGGCTGCGGTGAAGCTGCGCACGGGGCAGCGAGCTCGGCAGACGGGTCTGGTCTCAGGCCGTTACTACTGCTATGGTCCCATCTGGACTTTAACGTAAAAGATTTACAGATCTGAAACGAAAGCACTGCTTAATGCTTTCAGATACATCTGGGTATTCAGTATGTTTCAAGGCATCTTTACAAATAATAAATTAGAGCTATAACAAAGAGAAGCCGTGACTAAAGCTTCTTACGTGGACACGAGGCAGCAACCACAAATGCCGTCAGGGACAACGGCATTAATGAAAAATCCTAACTGTCCCTAGATTTCTTTAAAAACCAGCAGAACCAAGTAGCACACACACAGGCAGATTTTGATGCAACCGTAATGGTCTAACGAACCTTCCAAACGGAAGAAAGTGCGACACGGTGGCGGTGTCAGCGCTGCCAGGCTGCTTCGCCACCTGTCTGCAGCACCACCTGACGCCAAGTCCACCCCGGCTCCAAGTGGCCAAAGCCACACGCACGAAGAGTGGCGGGGACCTACAGCTTTGCTGACACCTCTCACTGTGCTTTCAATACTGGCATCTGCGTGGGTTTGCTCCTTGCAGTGAATCTGAGTACGATCAATTTCCACAGAGAACTGCGTAGGTAAACGGAATTAAGAATATTAAATCTTCCACACGTGGGCTCGACTCGGAAGTATTTTGTTTAGTATAACGAATCGTTAATTTTTTAAAATATCTGCAGTCTTTTTGAAACACAAGGCACCAACAGGGAGCAGACATTCCGGCAGCGACTGTCTAAAAAACAAGTGGCCCGGGCCGGAGTCCTTCATCTTCTGTGGATTGGAATACTTCCTCCTTTCACGTGAAAGCGACGTCTTCCAGATAATCTGCAACGTCACTGAGCTGGGACACGGTCAGGTCCTGTGTCAGGTCGTCAAGCTTTGTTGTTCAAAACAAAGGAAAGATTAGTGTCAGAATGCAGAGAGAGTCTCAAAGAATTTTTAAAATATATTGCTAGAATTTAAATATTATCTTAAACTCTACAAACTGCGTCATACTCAAAATCTCTTTTCCTCACTTTCTTTTTCTCATTTTGAAATTTGCGATAATACCAACAGTTGAACTCGACATTAATAACTGACTGTTAAAGTAATCCTCTGTAGTTCTTCTGGTAACTTTAAAGCAACATTTTCAGGCCTCTTGAGGATGACATAGGTGAAAAGGCAAGAGAAATAAATTTTTATAAGGCCGTGTCATGTGTCAGAAATTAAGAAAGTTCTTGACATATTATCAGTTAACTTCAAAACAATCCCATGAGGCAGGCATTAACACTTCCCTCTCATGAGCAAGAAACCTGAGGGTCAAAGGTTAAAAGCTGCCCAAGAAAACGGCACGTGACAGAGTAAGAGCCCAGCCCAGACTGCACTGGCCCACGTGGGGCTGTCATCACATGCTGCCTCTCCCAGGGGCCCCTCCTCCCGGCACGCAACCGCCTGAATGACCATCACAGCACTCAGACCGGTCCTCACTCTGAGAAACGACACTCGTCTCCAGGCTGAGCAACCACGGCCTGGAAGGCAGGATCAGGGTCCCGGATCGGGGTCCCGCGTTCTGGGCACCGGCACGTGGTCTCGAGACGCTCCCTTCCGTCCACGTCTAACACACACCTAAGCACATTCTGCTCCCTGCCTAATAAAAACGCCCGATCGGAGCTCCAGGACGGACTCCTAACGTCACGCCTGAGCACACGGGTGCTGCCTGTCTCGGGGAGTTCAGCGCCTGCCCCGCACACGGCCCCGCACTCACGGGCGCACACATGCGCCAGTCACCTGTGCTGACTTCTCTGCAAATGCCCTCCGGTACCGACTGTCCACACCAGAGGGCCCGATTCTGAGTCCAGTCATGGCCTGGGGCCTGGGTGGCCACCTACACCCATCCCGCAGAGGGCCCGATTCTGAGTCCAGTCATGGCCTGGGTGGCCACCTACACCCATCCCAGGGTGCCCCAACACCTCCACACAGGTGCTGTCACCTCAGCGACAATCAAAGACAATCTTACACATTCATTAAAAACATTCTTTTTCGATTTGGACCAGGTAACTCTGCCCTAAACTTCATGATTTTCAACTGTTTTGCTAATCTGCGTAAATTTCGGAAGCTTTACAGTAAACCAAGGCAGTGAACGGGCGCGGACAGCGCTCCATGGGACATGCACACAGCCGTACTTTGTCACTGGTGTTGGCGTCGTCCAGTCCCACGGAAAGGTCCTCCTCGATATCCTCACCGATACTTAGCTCGCTTTTTTCTGAGCGATGGCTCGTACTAATCTCAGGGAAGAAAAAGAAAAATAAGAACTGAGGATAAACGTGTAAAGAGTAATTATCATTCTTCGACCTTTCGAATATTTACTTTAACCCTTTAAATGTAATAATGTATTGCAAAGCATTAATTTCATACGTATTCTCTCACTCGACCCTACAGTAACTCAGCGAGGGTGGCAGGGAGGGGACCCTAACAGACGAGGAAGCTAAGGCCCGTATCCGCGACCTCGTCACTACAGCAAGAAAGACGCAAAGCCGGGCTTCTAGAATTCTATCTGTATCATTCCATCTTCTCAAAAATAACTGTATAATAAATCGTTGTTAAAAAATAAACATAAATTTCCAACTGAAAAAAAACCCCTCAATTATATAAAATTCTCAGACTCTAAAAATTCTAATCCTATCCACCATAGATACCACTTCCAAATTAATTATCAGCTAGCGCACAGATTATATATATAAAAGTTATGTGAAACGAAACGTTACGGAGCGTCATCTGAATCAGAACAGTAATTCGAGAGGGCAGTTTTGAAGTTGATGCAGCAAACCCCACCACAGAGATGAGGAAAACGCATGTGTGCACCGGTGACCGGGCGTCTGAGTGACTTCAGAGCAGGTCCTCGGTGCCAGTTCTTCAGCTCACTCTTACCGAGTTCCCCGGGCATAACACAGATGTTCCGTATTCTAACGGAAAATCAAAACCACGCCTCAAAGCCCAATGTATAATTCGGGATTAACTATCTTTTATTCACCTTCGATCATTATGAACGGGAGAATCAGATGCACTAAAAGAAGCATCGATATGATTATGCTCTACTTCCCTGTGTCTAGAAGTCGTTTACAATTTGTATCTTTGTTGCCCAATTATTTCGCTTACCTATTAAAATCATCAGCATAGTCATCATCTTCTCCAGTCCCTGATAAGTTTAGAAAAGATACATGTTATATTTACATAACCACATTTCACGATTTATCTACAAGTAAACACGCACATTTCCTTCCAAAGAACTACATTACTGAATTATATTGTGTCATGGAAAAAGAAATCTCAAAGATCAGAAATAATATTTTACCGCATATAGTACGAAAGCAAATAACAAAATAAACTACCTAAGAAATAATAAAATGTTATATCCTATCATAAAACAGTTAATAGCTAGTCTTTTATTCCAAGTACTCAAGAATCTTAATTGCGTTGTACGTTTACTATTTACAATGTCATTTGATATTAAAACCAAATACTTGACGTCGTGGGATATAGGAAAAGCCAACCCCTACAACTACCGTCTTTAACTGTTGACGTTTTTAAACAACAGTCGTAAAATACAAAAAGAGCACGAGGTGTGAAGAGGCCGCGGCCAGCCCACGAGAGGCCTGGGTTCGAGTCCGGCCCGCCCGAAGAGCTCTCTGGGGGCCGCCCCCACCCAGGCAGCGCTGACCCAAGGGGTCCAAGTGTGTGATGTGCTCGACAGAGACATTAGCACGCAGAGAACACCTAAGAGCAGGGACGTCACGAGGGAGGGACGCCGAGTCACGGAGCTGTGCCACGAGGGTCTCAGCACCATGAGGCCTGACGGGCACCCGCCCCCCACCTCGCCCTCGCTCCCACCACCTCTCCTGACGACAGACAGACGAGGAAACGGCTCGTCAGCCGCAGAGCCGAGACACTGACGGCGATGGCTGGCATGGGGAGACCCGCCGCGTCACGCGTGCCCCCTGTAAAGAGCGCAGGCCACAGAGAGGAGGTGGGCTCAGCGATGAGCCATCGGAGGCGCCCAGGGGTGAGGCCCAGAGCCCTTCGGAGTACCACACCAGGTCACCTCCACGCCGGGGCCTGCCGAGGGGACGGCGCTCTGCATGAACACCAAGGGCAGGTGACGCTCCCCCAAGAAAACCCGCAACGGCTCTGCCCGCTTGCCCGACGTGGGGGTGACAACCAGGCCTGACAACCAGGCTGGCTGCGGGCAGCGGCACACGAGGGGCACTCTCAACTTGCAGGGCCACCCTGGCGGGAAGAGGGGGCGCCAGCTGCTGCACGGACGCGGTGAGGGCTGGCGGACGGCCCTGAGGGGACAGCAGAGTGGAGCCCGGGAGGAGGCAGACCTCCGC